TCATAGTCAAAACATGGAGTCCATCAGAGTCCTTGTACAGTCCTGCACGTAGGCCAAATCGCTATCTAATCCTAACATAAGCTTTAAATACAGGTCTGTTTAGTTTAATTAATGGCATTGATTTGTTATTATTGACTGAATGATGTATAGAAGCAAATGTGATTGACGTCTCTGCTCATTTCTTTGGTGATTAGGGGATAAGCAGCAGAATACTTCAAGCTGATTGGGCGAAGTGACGCTGTGTGCCCGCCTACCAAGGTTTGACTTAAACCAATCCCGGTAACATTATGTCGTCATCGGCTTGCACAAAGCGCCTCTCGCTGTTCATCTTTCAAAAAAGAAATTGGACATTCTGCTGAAACTGACTTGATACTGTAGCCTCAGCTACGTGCGTCCGTCCTCCTGCGTAGCCATGTTTGTTTTGCTTCGGCCCGGCACTTCTTGCTTTCGTCAAAGCCGGATATCCCGCCCTAAACCCCCAGACTGGCGCGTGATTGGCTTGAACACCTAGATGTTCTACTCGAAAACGGTTGGCGGGAGCGGGGCAAGATGTATTCTCGAGTGTTTGTGAACTCACAAATACAGCGAGAATTCAGCTTGTAGGCAAGGTTATATTTTCATTGGTTCTTGTTGGAATGCTTACTCACTTACTGTACTTAGTTATTTACATGGTGGCACAAGGGTCCAGTGGCCGCATAGAAATGGGAATCGGGCCGCAAATAGCCCCCGGGCCACACTTTTTCCAGGTCCACAGTTGTGTCAGTGCTGTTTGTGGAGATCTGTGAGCTTCTCCTCAACATTCTCTATTGTTGGAGATGACTGTGAGTGAATCTCGCTGCAGTTCAGTGATTTTTGCTGCAGATTTTAATAATCTTACTGAGAGGATTTAGATGTGTGAGACTGAGCGAACCAAACCAGGCTGTGATATTGAATGTGAGAATGGATTAAATTAGGCATTTGTGAAAAACAGAGAGGATTAATTGGGGAACTTTGTGAGTTTACATAATTTACAAATGAAAAAGAAGCTCTTTTGACTCTTTGAGAAGATAAATAATGTCCAGTGTTGCCCTGAAAAGTGAGTTATTGGTCAAATATAACACTTTTTAATTGCTTGATTCTTGTCAGTAAGTGTGGTAGCTGTGGAGTGTCCATAATGGAACTATTAGAATGTCTTGTGTATTGTTTCGTTTAGAAATGAGAAGTCATTGAAAACACCACTGCCTGTCTCATGTAACACCTATTGTTTAAAGCTGGGGTACCTAACTTTCAAACCACAAGAAATAAACTATGTGATAATAATCAAACCAAAAATAAAAACATCTAACAAGTTCCTGGCTCTAAAACAGCTTGGTTCTAAACAGTAACTTTAGATCAGCATTTTCAAACAGAAAAGGGAAAAACATGAGACCCATCACTCAGCCAATCAGCTCTCAGTGCAAAGCATCAAATAGTGACTAATAGGGAAGTCTGCAAATTGAGTCTAATAAGATGAACACAGCATTTTGTGTTTTCAACTTTTCATATTACGTTTTCTGTATTAAAGAATACATTAAGGCACAAGTATGACTCAATCCAACTATGTAGAAGAGAAAAGAACAAGGCATTCTTATTCTTTAGACTTAATCTTACTGTAAATATAACAATCTTATCCCATCCTGCAGCTGAGAAATCATGAACAGCTGATAATGCTGTCTCTTCTTTCATGTTTTACACACACACGGCAGCAGCCTTTTCCGTGCCGCTCAGGAACAGAGCAGCGCTTGTAATGATTTTCAGAAGTCCCCAAAGCCCTGAGGTTCAAAACCGTCCGACAACGAAAGGGTCAGTGCAGCTCCATAGCCTCACGACCTCATCTAACAGTGTTGAATTATGGGTAGTGGCATGCAGGTCTCACAGCTGTCTCCACGCTCGGGGCATATAGGTCGGCTGAATCACCTCCTGCGCTGACATTTAGAAGAGAGAGAGGACAAAACAGCAAGCAGGCTAAATAGACTCCTGTCAAACAACGCATCGATTCACGCCATTTTAATAAGTCTGTCTGATGCCTGGGCCTTAGCTTGAGAAACTATAGGATGTTTTCTGCACAAAGATGTATAGTCCCTTAACAATTTAAGCCCGGAATCTGAAAAGAAAGGAGTAACTGTATGCGTACAATAGCGCGATTGTGTGTACTGTATGTATTTGTGTGCGATGTCCGTCCTGTGAACAATGAGCATATAAATTCTTGTGTGTTTTATTTATTCATGCTTAAGACTGGTCATAAAATATACCCAATCCCAATCGCCTCTGCTTCTTTGTCTACTCTACATTATACTGCAGCTAGCTTAAGCCCTTTAGCGAATGGCCTCATGCACCAAACATTAATATATGTCCATGTTCAGAATTATTCAGAGCCTGTGGGCTGGTCAATAAGTAAACAGCTCTTTCTTAATCCTTTCTTTTTCACGTAGATATTCAATGCTTGTATAACATAGTCCTGATGGAAGTGATAAGGAGAGTCTGCAGGTCAACATGCAATTCATTACAAGCCATGGTTTTCACACGGTTGATGGTGACGCTGATTCGTGCACTCGGACAGTTTGGAGTCTTTTTTGGTGGTGGTGGATGAGCTTCTTTATCCTCTTTGATTTAGAACCTTCAGAAGACTCCACACTGCAAAAAGTGATAAAACATGAGGTAATAATGGCTTGAATCGAGTGTTTTTTTTATTTAGTAATCTTTCTTTGGGTACATTCTCACTGCCTTCAAACAAGATTTTCCAATGGGATAAAACCATTTAAGAAAGACATTTCTTGTATACTTTTACTCGTCCCATTGGCAAATCTGATCAAATTTGACCAATTTTTACTTATTTTTATCACATTTTCCAGTGCAGTTCCTGTAAACTCCTGTAAAAACATATTTATTTGATGATAAGTGGCTTCAGATCACTATCAACAATAAGCGTGAACAAAGTATTTGTGTATCATTCTTAATCTTCATACAAGCATGTATTTTATTGTTTTTGCTTAAATACAGACTACAGTAGTCATACATACATCATTACTACAGAGATTTTCTGCCTCGGTCCAAACTATTGATCGGTTTTCTCTGTGAAGCAACTACACAGAGAGATTGTTAAGTCAAACAGCAAAGCACTAATCCGCTGCTGCTTTTATGTTCTGTCCCTGGAGGGCTTTAGTAAATCAAGATTGGCCAATGCATATTTAGATAGATGTAGGAGATATATGTTTGTGCATTATTAATCCCATTTGTCTGCATGCTCAACGTTAGCCACACATACAACGTCAATCAATACAGGCAAAGAGCACTTAAACATGTTTCATTAGAGTTGTGTTGTCTAACGGACGAGAGACAACGGAACATGCTCCTCCTCATTTGGATTAGGGGCCAAGATTAAAACATTAGAGCGGGTTGGTATAAAAGTATAAAAGTGGTTTTCATTTTAGTTTATTCATTTTATTTATTTATTTTTTAAACATATTTTTGTATTTTGACATTGAATTTTGTCATGAGTTTGGTTATTATCTTCTAGTAGTTTTTGGATTAAATCACAACTGTGCCAAATTCAATTGAAGGTTGATATATTTAAAAAATAAAAAATAATAGAAAAAAATCTTTGGCCGAACTTAACTAATTCTAATTACAATTAAATAATTGTTTTCCTGAAAAACTAAGCTTTAAAATTAAGTACAACCTGCCATACTGGCCCTTTATCATCAATGCTGCAAATTACTGATAGAGATAATTGAAAATCATTTCAGGGGCCACTAAAACTGATCGTTTGACATGTCCGGTATGGAAAGTGCAGAGGGTCTAAAGCAGGGGTGTCAAACTCATTTTGATCAGGGGCTGAATAGAAACAATGTGTTGTAAACAAAGTGTGTAATTATTTATCTTCTAATGATGTGTTGGGTTCAAATTTTAGAATAAATAACATCCCTTAGTAGCAATGCTGCAAATAATAATTATTTAATTGAAAATCTTTAAGGGGGCAACTAAAAAATTCTCTTTCTGGATGGATATAGCCCTGGACGAGTTTATGCCTGGACTAGAGGGAGTTGTGGGGGTAGAGGGTCAAGAGGGCAGGTGTGGCTGCAGGTTTTTACTTCCAACCAAACAGGCCCAGCACACCTGACTCCACTCATTTCAAATGTATCCAGTCTGATGTGCTCCTGCTTAATAGGAAAGGAAACCTGCAGCCACACTGGCCCTTTAAGAGAGGGTGAAGAAGAAGAACAGGATCTAGAGGTGCGTTATGGCGCAAACTAATGGTTCCAAAATAATCAGAATCAGAGTAACAGGAAAGTCACAAACTAGGGATTTGGTTTGGCTGATGGTGCAAACAAGTGCCAAAATAAATGAAAAAAGAACATAAAAAATAATGCATAAACTTTTTGCATGTGGCTACCATTTAATTCACTTTCAGAAAAAGAAACATTTTCTGTATCTTGTGAAAGCTTCATTTACGCAATTTACTCCATGAATTAATTAATTCACCATATTATTTATTTTATCATCATCACGACCTCATTGCAATAAACCAAATATGTTTGTTATTAGAATTGAACATGATGAGTATAAGAAAGAAAGAGTGGACTATTATGCCAGATAAAGGGGACTATATAATCGAATTGTTATGTTTGCGAATACTACTTTTGGGGTATTTAATGATTTGGTCGAGGCATCAAACAAACCAAAACAGAAGTCAACAAGCAAAACAAGAACAATAATATTTTCTCAAAGCAGGACTGTTGTACCCAATGACTGTACAGCGTTTTGATCCCAAACGTAACACACACAGACAGACGACGGTCCAAGGCAGAAACCAAACCGGAAAAACAAAGCAGCGCGTCGCCAGTCACGTGACTGCTGCGTCCCTCTCGAAGATTGAACGCATTTGCATCACCACCACCACCACCACCACCACCTCTCTCTCCTCTCTCCCCTCTCTCTCTCCTCCCCTCCCGCTCCTCTGCGCCGGTGCACGCGCTGCCCTGATGCTGCTGCTGCTGCTGCTGATGCTGATGCTGATGCTGGCGATGAGCGACCGCAGCGTCCGAGATGGGACCTCTATCATAATCCCGCCGTTTCCCCGTGAGTGCCTTTTCCAACAGACTTTCTCCATCTTTCACACTGCTTAACTTCCAGCCAAGTCCTTGTCGCGTCCCTCCATCACTTACTTCTTATCTACTCCTCCCGTTTTCTTTTTTACCTTCCTTTGTGCGCTCGGCTATGGCGCAGGACACGGTGAACAGTGGAGAGATACGGAACAGCCTTTCCCCTTTCGCTATACCTTCAACTATGGCGTAATCGTTGGACCACGAGACAAAAACAAAAAGGCAAGGAGAGTTTTATTTAGGGCGGGTGGTGTATAGCCACACTCCCTCGGGACCATTGGGCTGCAGTGTGGGGAAAGACTGGATGGGCATGTGTTTGGTGTTTGAGAAAGATGTGTTCTGCAGATTATTATCGCAATAGAGTATTGTTGTATAGTTCTACAATCCCAAACATGAAATCGATGCTGCATTGCACGCCCAATTACAGTACTCCTGTTTTATTTATGAATGCTGCTACAGCTGCTGCCCCCTTTTTGAATCAATGTGTAAATATGGATAGCGTGCTTATTGTGCTATATCACCGTTTATAGTAAATCTATTAGCTAAACACTTTATGGTCCAATATTAGTAACAATGCTTGGAGGAAAACAAGGGAAATGGCATAGTCAGATAAATAATGAAATAATGCAGAGTACCTTTACTGAGTGACAAGCTGTCTCCTCTTTTTTGTAATGGCTTTTAAACTGGGAAACTTGAATCCACTTTGCCACGTGGACTTGTCTCTGAAACACTGCCCTTTCTGCTTTCAATCAGAGCACAATCTGCGCCATCTATATCCTTTGTCTTTCTTTTTGATATGTATTTCAATCAGACACCATGCCGCTGCTCGACATTGAAAGCCTCTGGATCTCTGGTTCTGGGTTAATCCCCAATGACATGCTCCAATCTGACTCGCCACTCTCGCGATCTGCGGCCTTAGGTCCTGTCTCCTGGGCGTCTCTTTGGCTGTTTGTGACTTTTCATTCACTCCTTTATTGTGAGTGATAGTGGTGACATGCTGGCGCCCTGTCCATGGTGCTGAAAACAGTCATCACTGAAGCGCTCTAATGACTTAATGGCTGACAGCGCAACAGGTGCCAATCCAGAGCGTGTATAGTGATTAAATGCCAAGCGACAACAGCAGCAGTAAAATGTTTAATACAGAGAAAATTGCTGTTTTTATTGTGCCATGTATTTACTAATCGGTTGTTAGAATTGTCGACCCCCTCTTTGCAATATTCACTTTATGGTAACACAAGTGAACTGAATAGATGCACTACTGACTGGGTTTCTGACACTGCCTACAAGGAAGCAAACCCAAACATATCATATTCACACAGTGCAATTCAGTGCAATGTCTGTGCTTTGCGGAAGATGGGTTTAGACAGATTTGTGGACAATTGGTATCTTTTGGCAATAGAAAAAGTTCTGGATATTTGATAGTTGAATTCATGATAGATAAGAGCAAAAACAAAAGGCATTTATTCAAGGTAGGTTGGAACAATAGGCTGCATATACAGTATATGGACATTGCTAACCCCCTAGCTCACTGAAGCCCAATAGGGAAGTGTTCATGGAGGAAGTTTTACTCCTACTTTCTCCTCTACCTCTGCAGTGTTCGTTTGTGTCACACTCACCATTTCGGGCTTGAAAAATCCATGGTTTTCTGCTTTCTTTGATCCTAGTGTTTATATTGTGATAATGACTTTGTAAATCCAGATATGAGCCCTAACACATGAACAATCAGGAACCTTTTATTTGCTGAATTCGGCTTTAGCGAGGGAGTAGCACGAGATGGGCTGGACAGACCTGATTGGCTTTACTGTACATTACATTTGGCTTCACATTTCTGCTCAAAAAGCCTGTTCGAGCTGGCACTAATCGCCCTCTTTCGCATTAAAGCTAACACAACTGGTGACGTCACTTGGTCAGTCCACTCCTAATATACAGTCTATGGTTAGAATAAAAATCTACTTTCTTAAGCCTTATGTAATCTATATGAATTACATCGTTCTTTAGCCATACGCAAATGCATTTTTCCCTGTCTCGCCGTAAATATGAGAGATGGTTTTAATGAGAGAAAAACATAAATAATAATAGCCAAATATGAAAGATTACATAAGCGGGCTGCCTGTCACCCCGTGTATTCCTCACACCGAGTCTGCAGGCGTCTTCTCCCTTCCCTGACTCACACAGAGGACTCTACAGGGGCAGCCACAGCTCAGGCGGAGGTGCTGAGGGGGCCAGATCGCTTGGTGAAGCCTGCTGATGATGTTATGGTGACAGAGAATGACCACTGAGATGTATTTATGCTGCTGGGATGGACACAAAGCTGCTGGTGATCAATGTTGTGAGAGATTTTCGTAAACACATTATTTCTAGTTAAAGCTGCACTAACTGACTTTGGGATTTTGAAGCAGCAGACCCGCTGGCCTCTCTCTTTCTGCTCCCCTCCCCGCACCCACGAAGCTATCGCCCCCCACACACACACAGTGTTGGGACGGAGCTAGTGTCTCCCAATATGGATAATACATGAATATGGATTTTCACGTGGATGGCGTGACCATAAAACGATAGAACCGGGAAGCGCGGAGGAACGAGACTTTCTTTTGGATGGCTGTCTCGCTGTGTAAGCAGTAACCGGTGACGAAGACGAGAAAGTTTCAGGTTAGCTCCGCCACTTGTTGTGCTAACTCAGCCGTCTGTGCTAACGGTCTGTGCTAACGGACCTGTAGATTTGTCACGAAAGTGGGGGCCAGTGGTCCGCTGTGATTGGTCACAATCTGCGACCCGAAACACATTCTCTTCCTTGTTTCATCAAAACTCGATCTAAAATATTATGTCACGCCAGCACAAATCTGCGCTAATTATTCTTCAAAAGGACGTATATCCCAATGCACTACATGGACATGGATAGCATTTTTGTAATGAATACGAAAATAAAGTCAGTTAGTGCAGCTTTAAGCTGCAGTGTAACAGTATGGCTTTGCATTCAACTGTTGGTGACTAGGGTTAAAGCTGGAGAACCTAACATTTAAACTACAACACTTGACCTCTTTTGAAATCTACATATAACTAGTTCCTTTCAATCAAAACAGTTCTCAGTGTCCAGTTCTTGCTAATCACTAGTTTTCACACGCATGTTTTTGGCCTCTGTCATCTCTTTGGATCAGCTTTTTCAGACAGGAAAGTGAAGAAAGTGTCAAATGGTGACTTACAGGTCTCTCTCTTACATGTGTGCAAACTATTACATGCTTTCTAATAAGAATAAGGCAGCATGTCGTGGTCTGATTTGCTCTCCAGAATTGTTATAGTCACATCTCCACTCTTTTGCTTTCCATCTTCAAGGCAGTCAAATCCCTTTACATCACATCATGGAACCATTCACCCATTACAAAGACACATGGGGGCAAAGCTTGTTAAATGCCTTTCCCAAGGACACAACAACAGTCATATTGTGATTTATTTGGCAGATGATTAGATATTAAATTGAGCGTTTCTCACTCATTTGTGACGGGAAGCAGACAGATCATGGTTAACGGCTGCTGCTAAAATGTAGTGACTTAAAAATAGAGGGGCTAAAAATGCTAATAAGGAGTAGAAGCAGACCTTGGAGCTATGTAAGTGTGAAGCTACTTTTGCTAGCCTCGTATGACAGCAATTATAATTTAATTTATTTGCTGTACACTCGATCGGGGCAAACATAAAGCTGGACAATGTTTTCCTCATAATCTCACTCTCCGCTGATGATTGTAGTGAATACCATGATTTGAATGTGTGAAGATTTCTTTCATATCTATAGTTTGAGTTCATTTTATTTTAGTTTATTGTCATGCAGAAAAGTGCCCAACCCGCATGGGCTTACGTGACACTGAAGCAAAGTCAGTTGGCCACAGACCAAATACACGCATGAATAAACAATATTTTACCATAAACATCTCATACAGGATACAGAATCTGTCGTCTCCTCTCCGAGGCTTTAACAACAAAAGAAGCAAAGGCAAACATTTCATTGTGATAAATCCAATTCATATTTTTCTGATTTGCTCTTTCCTAATAAAATGAATTTCAATGTTCAAAATAAAGAGGACAATACAAAACAAAATGAGACTCATCCTCTACCACCCCCAGGTCACATACTGTATCTGTATCAGGAACAGCTTTAAAATGCCCCAAATCCACTGCCAGAGTTAAAGGGCCGGTCCTCAACTGGGCAAACAGAGACCGCAGTACATTAAACTGTATGTACACGATACACATTCCTGTTTAAATTGAATTCAATGTACAAACATAACATTTCTTTTGTGTTTCAAATTCTATTAACACATTTTATTTAAACACACAGCGCTAATACAAGCCTAAAAATAGAAGCTTGAGATAATGACGTCATGTCTCAAAAGGCCTACATCAGGAGTCCAATCATAAGTATTTACGTCAATGTTAATGGGTGACTCACAGGGACCCCACCCACCGGCTCGAGATAGTATAACGTATAGATATTCAGTGAACCATGAAATCCTGCAAAAACGGATCATCAATCATCTGAAAAAAATATATGCTATGAAAACGCCACCTGCACACAGATACAATGGAAGTAGACGCATGTTGCACTTGCTGGTGGTCCCGCTCTTTAAGAAGGGGGGGGTCTGGAAGGTGTTATTGTGGGCTCACACCTCCTCAGCCTCCCCCTGTGTACATTTGAATACAGTGCAGAAAATAACTGAGAAAATCAATGCATGTTAAAAGTGTTGCTTGCTGTGTTGGTTTGAATGCGGCCGCCCCACACAATGTCTAACAGCGGTTTTAAACATGAGCCTATTGTGTGTCATGTCAATAGTGAAATGCAACACCGAAAGGACACGGCTGCCAATTAAAGCGACTCCAAATCGGCTCATATGCAAAGCTTTACCCAGTTCTTTCTCTTGATATCAGAAAGGCAATTTTCCCCGTCGGTTTTTATATGTCAGCCTTTTTTTCTAATAAGAGCACAAGCTTTTG